TTTTGTAAAATAAGCACGTAAAAAAATTATTTTACGTGACAAGTAAACAATCCAAAATAGTATTAAAAACAAAAAAAAACACTAAAATACACGAATCTAAAAAAGTAACTAAGCTAATCTGAAGACGCGAATCTTATTTACGTACAGTATTTCTAAATCAAATTATATAAATGAAAATCTATTTAGTTTACTTATTTAATAAAAATCTTACGTGTCATGTTTAGTTTACTCTGTATAAATAATTTAAATACCCTTCCAAATTATTTCAAATAACAAAAATTACATAGTAACATAAAATTTTAAACAGTGCTCCTATTAGTGATCCTGGCCGATAGTGAAAAAATCAGCTTAGCGGGTCGATCTTTTTAAAAATCGGCTGATCGATTTTATTATGGCATTCCTAAAAGTTCCAATGTATAAAATGAACGAATTTAATCTTCCAAAGGATTCGTAATAGTTATATCCTGGGTAGTTGGGTATAAGCTGTAAAGTATAATGACGTAGATCGGCTGCGTAGCAGCCAATTACATCATTATACTTTACAGCAAAATTTTGCTTATATCCAACTACTCAGGATATAACTGATATATCCCCTGCCATCTACATGACTAAAAAAAAACTTCTTTCTTTAATAAAGAACGAAAATATGGATAGAAAATTTTTTTTAATATTTACGTACTAGCATTTTTTAATTTAAATAAGTTTTATTATCGTTACTATTGCTACGTATTGCTATAAGGAATCCGGATTTAAACCTGCTTCAGAAATCGTTATAGAAAACAAAATGAAGAACAACGTATTAAAGTAGCGAATATTGCTCTTCCTGCTGTTAATAATTTAATTATAATTCTTTTAATAATTTACATATAATTGGTATTTAGGTTTTACCAAAACAAATACTAGTAAATGAAGAAGGTTCTCAAAATAAAACAACATCAAGCTTTGACGAATCTTACATACAATTACAAGATTCTATTACAAATGTAATTTAATATATATTATTAACTTACTTATTTTACATGTTATAAACTAACTACTTTTTTCTAGATGGAACTTCTAAAATACTATTTAATGAAACAACTAACATTATTAGTTCTGATAATACATCAATTAAGAAGCGGTCTAGTGAACTTCAACTTGGCGAAAAAAGAATGAAGCTTATAAACTGTAAAAATTTTACTATTAATTTTAATAATTAATGTATTATTTTAAATTCATATAATTTGTAATTCGCTTATATGTAATTCGCTTATATAACATTACGTTTTATTAAAACAATTAATATTTGGCGTTAGTTAATAAATTTCTATATACCCTAATTACTATATGTCAATCGGAAAGTTTAAGTCACTTATGCATTGTATTCTTTGTTTACAATAGAATTTGAGTTCCGCT